GTTTTACACCAGTGTAACAATCAACTGCAGCGTGTGTCCGAAACACATCGAACATATGAATATGAATATTTTAATGAATATGATAAATCTAGTTACAGGTAAATAAAAAATTTTAGTTTTTAATGTTTATCATAGCTTTAAGTAATTTATATAATTCTATTACAACAAATTTGTTTTTAGGTTGTGAAACAAAAAAGTTAATTCAATGAATTATTATACACAAGCTTGTGGTTGAAGAAGTTGAGGTCAATCACATCTTAATATGTTAGTGTCTCTGTCACCAATATGATGTTGATATGTAAAAGTGGAAACTGAGTGATTAATGTTTTTCAGGTTAAACCAGGCAAAACTCCATTGAGGAATAAGGAAATTAACTTCATTCAGATCAAAAGGTTACAGATATTTCTTCATTATAGGGTGATACAAAGTCCGCCGGGCAGCTAGTAAGTAACTAAAAATCCTAAAAGTCTGAATGGTCTGCCTAATATTTCGTTAAAGAGCAAATTCATATCACCTCAAATACATCTCATCTAAGAGATAGGGAAAAGAAAGTAGATATTATTTCATAGAGTATCTTGAGTTGCTCTTTTTATTTATGAGTAGATTTATAATTTATTTTCTTGGTTTTGGCCTCTTATTTGTATTCAATATTAAAATAGGAGGCAAAATTAATATTTCGTTTGACACACACGAGAATATAACATACAATATATTATGCAATGAGTTTAGAAACGACGAATGAGTGGCATAGAAGATTTTTGCATCACATAGGAGAATTATACATCCTTTTGGCACTAAAATGGCTCACTATTATTTATGATTTATCGCCAGCATTGCTAAAATGTTATCTCAATGTATTCCAGATGACTATCCCAGATCAGTGTAATTCAGTAAGATGAGGTAAAGATACCGAAAAACCTTGCTACATCTGCTGGTAGGAAGTTGGAACAGCTAAGTGTTTGCTGGTGGTATGTATCATGTAGGGTTATCTTGGAAAGCGTTCAATACTCCCGGCGTCATTAGGTTACTAGGATATTCAACTCTCGATACCAACTAACGTATGTTTAAAACATTAGCTGTGAACTTTGCGATAGTAAAAGTTTCCCCCATTTAATTATTAAGGTATATCTAAAATGAATACATTTATACATTATAGCTTTCCGCCCGCAGCTTCGCCCGCGTAGAGTTCGGTTATATCGCGTTTCCAAGAGAACTTTTCAAAAGACTAGGATAAAAACTATCCTATGTTCTTTCTCAAGGTCAACTCTATCTCTGTACCAAATTTCATTAAAATCAGTTCAGCGGTTTAGGCGTGAAAGCGTAACAGACAGACAGACAGAGTTACTTTCGCATTTATAATATTAGTAGGGATTGTTAGATTCTGTGTGGTATCAATCATCATTTTGTAAAAGTATAACACTAAAAACCTATAACTTTAGAAATTTGTAAGAATTGTTAAATTGTTAGTATGTAAATAGTATTTTTTTTATTAGCTGCGCCGCGCGGCTACCTTGCTCATAGACATTGCACGCACATGCGCAGTTCAGCTACGCACAATCAACATCGCGACGCGATGCAACGAAACGCTTAGTTAATTTTTAAGTTACCCAAATTTTTAAACTCGCTATATCTTTTGCATGGAGTATCCGATTAAAATAATTTAAACAGCAATATAAAGGTATTGAACTACTGTTAAATAAAAAGTAAGTTATTTAGATAAGTATAAATACCATGGTATGAATAACTACATCTTATTTTCGTTGCCGATTTAAATAGTTTGTTAAACTATAAAAGTTTTTATATTGGCGTAACTATAATACTTAGATATACACTACCGCTGACTTTCCTGTAGATAATAATGCGGTCAACAAAATCGTAGTACATTATTTTGCTCCATCATCAATAGTTATTGCAGCGCACGCGATTTAAGGTATTTCAATAGTGATTTTTATCGACCGTGGTTCATGTTATCGAAGTTTTCGCAAAGATCCCTAATTTTTTCAAAATAAAATATAGCCTATGTTACTTTAGAAAGATTTACAATCATAATGGTGAAAGAATTTTTTAAATCGGTCCAGTAGTTTTTGAGCCTATTCGTAACAAACAAGCAAACAAAAAAATATTACCTCTTTATAATATTAGTTTAGATGAAAGCTGTTATACACATACCAATTAAAAGTGTAGCGTTAAAAAGTCAGTTGTTTATATTTTTTGATTAATCTTTTATTCCATTACTTGTATTTTTTAAATAAAAACAGTAACATAACTTTATTATTATAACAAACGTGAACAAGTTCGCTGCTTATGTAGTGACACTTCACAAACAGGCTGGGCTGTACAATTGTCAGTAGTTTGTTAGTTTGTCAAATTTTACTTATAATTTCTGTTATTATTGAAATAATTTATTTTTAGTTGATAAAGTCAGATCCAATTTGGGATACAATTATCTATACATTTAATAAAATTGTAGAAAAGTGCTGTCTGTACATTTAAAATAAAAAAAATAGCAAGGGTTATTTACTTTTACTGTTTACTTTTTTTTTGTCTGTTTGTCTGTTCACGGTAATCTCAGAAACGGCTGATCCGAGTTAGATGCGGTTTTCACGAATATATTGTGATATGCTTCAGTTATGCTTTAGTGTTTGTTTCATGTCAATCGGTTCATAAATAAAAAAGATATGTCAAATTAAAGAATCACGTCGAACACTATTCTATGCTTATACATACATAGGCACCATTAATTGCATAGTGTTAATATGTCTCTCGACTTATTAACACACAGCTAGTATATTTTAGCTAGGCACAGCTAGCTAAAATATACAAAAAACCAGTCCTATATGCCGTAAAACCTAACTTCAACTTATCGAAATAAAAGCAAAAACAAATGGCAACTTGTGATTTGACTACATAAAAAGAGTAAATTAAACATTAAAATTCTTTTTGTTAGTGCTATATGATCATAAAAATGAATGTATTACACAAAACCAAAATTATCAAAATACATATACAAATATTTTTTCCAAAAACATAGTAGCTTTATACAGTTTCAAACTCATCTTACCGTCAAATTAAAATGAAAATCATAAAATACTTTAATAGAATAATTGATTATTATTCTATAATCTATTAGCGCTTAAATCTTTTCGGATAAATATATTTGTTTCAACATTTATAAGACGATTGGCATCTCAACAATTATTTAATTATTTACTATTATTCAATTTAATCCTTTTTTTTCATATTGCAGGTAAACTCTTTCTACGAGCCGTCCAACCGTCTTTGTTGGGGCCGGAAGGGATGTGTGACACTCGACCTGTTTTCTAAAAGCACAAGTTTTCTAAAAGAAGTTGAAAAACGAAGATTATCTTACAATTATTTCAATCTTGATATCATATTTTCAATAGTGTAATAAGAGAATGATGTTATTAAAAATTAAAACTTGTTGTAAACAGCATTTAATGTAAAGAATCAATGTTAGTTATCAGTGGTATTTATTCATAACATGTCTTCAATTAATTATAATTTAGGTTATTATTCTTATAAATTTGAATTATATAATATTTTCTAAAACTACTTCGTGAATATTCAGTATTTAAAACACTGAGTCGATTCCGATAAAAACAAACAATGCAACATAAAAAGTTAGTGTAGAGAAGATTATATAATTAAATATCACCGTTTATTGGGAAATATGTTCAGTTTAAAAGTCAGTGAATAAATAAATACATTTTAAAACAATTCATGTCAATAATTTCAATCACGTGGTAATGTTTCTTTTAACAAAGCAAAACATTGTTAGTTGTTACAATGTTATATCCTCCATACAACTATGATATTCCATTTTAACAATTTCAGTAACCTTAATTTATTTTAAGTTAATATTTACTAACTGTTAAGACTGATTCATCACAATTTTGTAGTTAATAGCTCAGAATCTAGCTAGTTTATATAACAAGGAAGACAAGTTTAAAATACATTATTGATAAATATGTTGCATAATTGATCAAAATATAAATGAAAATATGAATTATATGATTTGCATATTGCATTAATGTGTGTTTGTCCGTGACTTTGTCTGCGTCACCTTCAGTTTGTAACTACTAACTGTCTTTCGAACGTCCTTAAAGTAAGTCGAGCTCACAATTACATTATGCTATTATTTTTCAATACTTAACGTCGTATGTATTTTCACAAAGGTGTCATCTTTGCCTGTTTCTAAATTTTAGTTTTTGTTTTTGACATATTCCTTTTATTTTTACTTTATACAACATTAAACACTATTAATTTACCTGTTCTAGTAATTGTAGTAGTAACCTGTTCTAGTAACCTGTAGTTCTAGTAATTGTTATTACCGAATTTATTAACTTATTTATTTATAATTCATTTCTTTGTTTCCATCGTCAGCTTTATTCTATCAGCATGCTCTACGTAAGTAGAAAACATTATCTCAAATTTATTCTCATCACATCACACATCATGCTTCAGTATCAAAACAAGCCGCAGAACAGAACAGATGTAATTGTTGAAATTCTTGTTGAAGTAAATTAAAAGGAAGCTGTTAATAAAGTGTTGATCGCTCTCTGTTTTGTCCTGACGTCTTTAGTCATAAAGAATGACTTACTATTCTATACATTGCTACATATTTCACCTGCTTCACATTTTACACGGATTATTCTTTACTGGAGTGTGAATGTTATAAGTGAAGAAGTTAGACATATATGTAATAAATATACTCGGCACAAATATGAAAAATAATAATATTCACTCCGTATCCACTTGTCAGGAATATAAATTGCTTAATTCATATGAATTTTATAATTTTACTTGTAAATATACTCGATGTTGAGATCGTTTTTATATATAAACATAAAGTTGTTGAAGACGAAACTTCTCAGCATTCCATGGATTCACCGTGCGGGTGCCGGGTCCATCGCGTTGCAGGGGGAGGAGCTTCAACAGTGCCTGGGACTTGCGACCCAAGTGTAGGTTTAAGGGGCCCCTTAACTAACGCGCGTTATACGCTCACCTCCACTGTCCAAGCTCCTCTCCCTACCTAACCAAATTTGAAAAGAACCTACTAGGGCTGCCTTCGATGTACGTTCCAAGAATGCATTAATGTGAGTTCTGGACAAGCCCAAGTCCTTTAGTAGGTTATAGAGAGATTTCGCTGTTATACCTCTCGCTCCCACCTCTACCGCGTACAAATCTACTACGAACCTATTTCGAGTGAGTTCGTTTGTGAGCTCGTAATATTTGTTGACCTTGATGGTATGGTCTTTGGGGATGTTGGTTTCCCAAGGGACCGTAAGCTCTATCATCACTACGCGCTTTAAAATTCGCGAAAACAAAAATATATCCGGTCTGGAGGCCGACGCACAAATATCCTCGGGGATTTTATATTGTTTTTCATACGTGTCCATCATTATAGTCCAATCCGACGCCGCTTTAAGGATGGAGTAAGGCTTGACGTTTGATTTTGTAGCCCTAGTGCCTTCTCTCACAAAACCTACTGATCGTTCGTTTGTGGTTATTCCCTTTTGCGCTCTGGCTACCGAAAGACTAACCGCTTCACGTATGACTTCTAGAACCCTATCGTGACGACGCGAGTATTGACCGCTGTCAAGGAGTACCTTACATCCCACCAGCAGATGCTTAGCAGTTCCAACTGCCTTTCCACAGTACTTCTACCCCATCTTACTAAACTACTCTGATCTGGGAGAGTCATCTGGAACGCATTGAGATAGAATTTTAGCAATGCTGGCGACCAATCATAAATTAAAGTGCGCCATTTTAATGTTAATGGGATGCAAAAATCTCCTATGTCTAACCACTCGTTCTGCATTTCTAAATTCATTGCATGGATCTTATATTTATCATTCTCGTCTTGCCGAATAAAAGACTTCAGTATATCCGCATCTTGGACTTTTCTATTTGATCCTAACCCCGCTCTGTTACTTTGTGCTCCTATCATAAATTGCTTATGGAATTGAAGTCGTGACTCTAGCTCGGGGGCATCTTCATCTTTTGGGAGCGATGTCACTATGTCATCATGGGATTTCCCCAGGATATATCTCTTGGAAACTCTTAGGTGTTTATAGAGCTCCGATGGCCTTTTTAGACTCATCCCAAAACTATTGCTTCTCCTAAATAACGCCGATAAATCAGCCGTTAGAGCGAGCCCGAGCCACAACTTCAACATCTTTATGACGCCTGCATCTAACATTGACAAAAGGGTTTTATTAAAATCATAGACGAGGAAAGGCCAATTCAAACGTGAAGTTAAGTAATTCCCGTAGATCCACGCTTTTTTGACGTTACTTATCAGTTGGCTATCTACCTTGTTAAGATCGTTCAAAAAGCTATTTACTATTCCTTCTAAAGATGGAGTACGGCCTATATTATCTGTCTTACGACCGAGAAATTTAAATGGTGCATTTTCCGTAACCGTAGAAATGCATTGACCGCCTAACGATAGTCCCGGATCGTATGAGGTGTATCTTGTATTCCGCCTACCAAGACACAGACAGTGACATTTACTGGGTTTTGTCCTCAATCCATCCGTCCACTCACAGAATTTATCCACTTCATCCAATAGTACCTGACAGTGTTTGGGGTTACGTGTCAGTATTGCGAGATCGTCAGCTAAGGCTAAAATGGATTCCGTGTATTTATTATTAAACTTGAACCGATAACCCCATTTTTTCTCGTTACAGATTAATTTGTCTACTAAGATGTTAATTACGATATTAAACGCAATTGGAGATAGACAACAACCTTGAAACAGTCAACTTATAATAAAATAAATTACATGTAACCAGTGAATGTAGAAAAAAATATTTTAAAAATAAAGACAAAATCAGATATGGCGAGCAACTAATTAATTGATGTATACTTTATACGTACATTTTCGCCTCTTACATATTAATGTATATAGTTATATGCTCGTGATTTTTATATTTAAAAAGTTGTACTAGTATTACATATTTAAGGTGGCTCTTAAATAAATACACAAGGTTTACTATAATTAAAACCAGCTCTGATTTTAAAATGTATGTTTGGTAAATGAAATACACTCATTTAGAATTTAATCATTTGAAATGAATTACTGGAACGTGCCTATCGCTTTAATAGTTTTAAAAGTTAAATATGTTTTTCATGAGCACGTAGAAACACGGAACGATGTGTTTAATTCTGAAAATCTATTTGTTTATTGTTTTAAGGTTTCTATATTCTGTGCTATAAATATATTCCATCATTATTTAAATAAGTAATTTTGTTCATTATACATATAAGACGAAAGTTGTAACATGAAAATCTCGTTATTATAACATTAATTAATTGTTTAAGCCAAGTATTTCTTTACATCGATACAAGGCCTTTACTGTATGTGAATGTTGGTCCATGTAACGATGATATGTTCTCAATATATGTAGTAGTATATATATTTTGTATAATCGATACCTTGGAGATTTCTCAGTTATCCTCCTAAAGAAGTTGCGGCTTATTTATTAAATTGTTCATACAAAAGGAAAGCTTTCTATAATTACATTGAATAGTTTCTTCGACGTGTCTGAAATGTTCACAATACACCGCTTCCAGTTTAAGTGGAATCAATTTCTTTACTTATTTCAGAACCTTTAATTAACTATACATATTTTCTATGAAAGTTCTCCAGATAGCATGCTAACTGTATATTTCTAAAAGCCTGGTGGAAGTGCTATGTGGAACAATTCCTACGAACATTTCTTCATGTATAGGAGATAATAAAACACACAAAGGGAGTCAGTTTCTCAGGAATTTAAGAGTTATGTCTTGAATGTTGAAGTTATATGTTAGATGGGGCCTTTAACTTGTGACTTCGAGAGGTTGACTTGAACAAGATTCAGTCTTCCCAATTAACAAAACTCCTTCAAAGATGTTCGGCTTTTCGACACTCCTATAACCGGATATATATATACATACATATACAGCATATAGATACATACAGTATTACTATTAATATAGTTTGTAACATGAGTATATATTGAATAAAATTTATAAAACTAATAGGAAAAGTATTAGTTTTGATCACAAACTGTTTATTAGGAGTTTTTTCTGTCTATATTTAATAGAATTAAAAAATGTTATGAAACTAAAACAATTAACCTGAGATGTGTGTATGTATTTGAAAGTAATGTTAAAAATACGTAACATATACATATACGAATAAATGAACCCAATTTCAAAAACAAAATGTCCATCTCTTAATCTTTTAAGGAATCATTGACAGATTCCTTGCGAACAATGAATTTAATTGTTGGTCTTAAAACATTTCTATCAAATTAGAGCACGCTCGTATGTCATCACTTCTCAAAGTGCGCCCAATTTAAACTCCCATCACGCTCCAGTAACAGAACTTAAGGCTGGATTGTAAAAAATGCTTGGAGCGTACACTTAGCTATTCGTGTTTTCAAGCATGAAAAGAGTAACTTTCTTATTTACAATTGTTAAATCTGATGCTCAAACATTCAAGCCGTCTTAAAGGAATATATTATTAACTTCTACAATTGCTTTATTAGTCGTGTTTCAGAAATAATTTCAAATATTCTGTATTTTTATAGCAGGATGCACTTCTACAACTAAAACATACAAGAAAGTTGGATTAGGAAATATTAATTAATAATATTAATTTAAAAATAATTAATAATATCAAGTATCTTTTTTTTACAAAAAAATAATTAAAAACAATTAAGTAAAGTATCAATTATATAAAAAATTGTATCAAATGACAAGTAAATAAATTACCTGGGGTATTTGATATTTTAAAAATCAAGGTACCGAAACAGAAAGTAAATATAAATTAAATACTAACTATATGCAGACTGCATAAAAAAAAAACTAATGCTAGAAAAAGTCGTTTAGCGACGTATAAAAGACAAGAGAAAATATAATGTTTTCTCATCAATTTTAGTACATATCTATTTGGAAAAATAAAACATTTGGAAATCTAAATTGCAGTCTACTACTAGTCAATTGTGATACTAGGAATTTAGGATGGAATAAGGACAAAAGGGGTATTCCGTATATAACAACTAATCCTTTTAAATAATAGGTTTAATTATAAAACTATCAAATTTAATTACAATTATCCTAAAATGCATTTAAAACCGTAATAGAAAATACTATTTATTATTTATTTGCCAAACTGAGCTCTAACCATATCATGTATAATATTTAACCCCAATTTTTAATCAGCTTGTAGCGATAATACTTTTGTATTGAAACGAATTAATTTTAATGGTTCTGTTTCATGATAGTAAAATAGTACGAGGGGTTTATTTTTTGTATACTAAAATTTCTTTTTTTCCTTCCTACTAAATAATTTATTTCTGTATTACTTAAGATTTGTGAAAAGATTAACTCGTGTCGTGGTGACGTCATAATGCTTAATTTATGTTTATAATTTACTGAACAAATGATGCCTATATATATTATGTAACAATTGTATTACTTCAAATAACTCAACGAGATTTCATATCTTTCCTAATATCAACGTGTGTTACATTTATTGTTATGTGACGTCGACATTTGACAGGCGAAGAGCCGATTAGAGAGGTAGGTATTTTAAAAGCGGGCGCTATACAAAACGTGGTTGTTGAAACTCTGCAAACCAGCCAAATGTAATCTTTCGGTTATGGTCATTATATCCTGCTACAGACGATATTGCTGAACGGCATTCAGTCAGATATCGCATCACCAGTACTAGAGAGGACTGTTTTCTTCAAAATATCGCTAGGTGACAACCCAATATTACAGCTATGAAAATTGTTGGTTAGTGCCCAAACTATAAGAAGAAGATTACACGGAGCTGGTCTTCATTCTCACAGACCACTTCGGGTTTCAGCTTTGTGTCATGGCAATTACGGACAGAGACTATTGTAGGCTCGAGAACTTAACTTTGAGCATGAGTAAGCGACTCTAATAATCTTAGTGGAGGAAATACTAATTATTATTAATCTTTAATTAAATGCCTTTTTTGTTACATTATGACTTTAACTGTCATAACTTCCTACATAAAATGTACAAAGTGAAAATTACACCCAAAAATAAAATCACACAAAAATAAATTAAAATCTTTCAGGCATCTCTTTTTATGCATTGCAAGTATAAACTTCAATTTCATATATAAATGTTTTAACAAAATATATCCAGAATTTCATATAATAAGGGAAAAATTAAATATCCCTAGGCAATGTTTATGTGTGTATATTATAAATGTATGAATTCAAATGTTCAGATGATTAGTTTTGTTTTCTTTTTAAACTTATTTCAGTATTAACTAGTACTCAAAAAGCAAAGTTCATATCTACAAACGTAGAATAACATATTGTAAATCAACTATACAAAATTTTAAACTAATATAAGATATATGTTAACCATTCCTTCTCATTTTTAAAGAAAGAATTGTTTGGTTTACATATTTAGTCTAATGTTTTTATTACATAAAATAATTTTATGTTGTTATAAATTGTTATGAAAGAACTTATTCGCAGTGCGCTGGAACAAAGCTGTGTTATAATTATTATCAGTTTAGAGATAGTTACGGTTTCTTTTGCACGTAATATTCTCATTATGCCTATTTTTATTTTGTGGTCGCAGGAAATATTACTCTAATATTTAGGTATTTCAATCTGACTTTCGAAAGAAACAATATGACATTTGGCAATTTGATAATGAGTTTTTAATTAAAATTAACAAGTATGAAAGTTAAATTGAGGAACATATTTTATTTTGGATATGTTGCGACATTTTAAAGGTACTAACATATTTTTTAAAATTCATGTCATACATATAAAGGTTGTTTGGAAGAAATGGCTTATAAGCCATAAAAGACCGCCTTTTGCTCCACGGGTGTATTTTGTGTTAAAGAATATATTTTTTATTTTTATGTATATTTGGTGTGCAATAAAGAGTTAAATAATAATAAATAATAATATATTCAAAAATTTTAACAACTTGTTTTCCCAGTTGGAGGGTTAGAATTAAAAACACTGATTAGGACTTTGCATATCATTCAGCGCTTAAAACACTAGGACCAAATCCTGTGAACAGTTTTATAGTGTAGACGCGTTTCATTGAAAGAGATTTCTCAGTGCCAACAAGAGGACCTCTATGTTATTATAATAAATTGCTTGGAGATAAATATTGTTACTTTTTTCCTATATTCTATTTTATTTGTAAAGTATTGTGAATAATAAATGACAAAGAAGAAACAACTTTGTTTGCATTTGTTCAATAAAAAAGAGAATCCAATAATAGTACATATATCAGGACTCTTGAAAACAGTACTACAGTAAAAGTAAACAATATTTTATAGAATATATAATGCTAGACTCTAGAATACTTGGTCTGGAATAAGTGAAGAATTTTTGTCCGTTCACTTTTTAAACATATGCTTATCCAACTGAGATTATATATTTATGGCAAATCAAATATTTGTTTTAGATATGAGCAGACCAGACCAGAGCTTTCATTTCAAATCTGGGAAATTGCCAGGTAGAAGAAGAAGAAGATTCTTTCATGTCAGAATTGAATTGCATCCTAAAAAGGCGATACGCTTTCTCTTAACTCATTTGTAGAACAAAG